TATAGTATGTGCAACAATCGCCATCATTTACAATATAGTTGGCCCGGTGTTTTTGAGTTCCTACTGTCCGTGGGATGATTGGAGACACGCCAACCTTTCAGCCATTTCGATAGCACTATCAAAGATTTTTTGAAACTCCACTTCATTTCTTAAATGTTGTAATTTTGTTGTAATACTATCAAACCATAACCGTGTTCACAACAAAAATGGAACGCACTTGTATTTCTTATCTGAAGTCTGTGCTTATCTTTACTATTTCACAAATTTTATGAATATAATTATACAAATTATAAAATTAATAACTTTTTGTTATTCGTTATCATAGATTAATCTTGAATTATATAAATTAAAAAATGTCTGTGCGATGTACTATGGGTCTTAGGCCAACCAAAAAAAAAAAAGATTTCGGGGGGGGGGGGGTGCCCCCCCTGGCTACGGCACTGTAAGATACACAATTCAATTTTTTTTAATGTGGATCATTTTATAACGAAATCAAATTACGTGTGGCTGCGAATACTGAATTGGGCTTTTTTTCGGGTCCATACTTAGTGAAAAATCAAATAAGACACTAGCGTAACTTTCAAAACACAGACAGGTGTTAAAGGGCAGGTGAAAAAGTCAATTCTAAGCGGATCTGACACTAGATTAAAAAAAAAAATCCACAAATATTAAGGATTCACCTGATTTAAGTGTTACCAAAAATTTTACTTGTAAATTTTGAGCCTGAATTAAAGAAAAAATTTGAGTCCCCCCCCCCCCAGAAGTAGATATAAATACCCCCCTGTGGTTGTTATCGATTAGATTGGACTCACGCAGCATTTCACAAATTAAAAGGTGTTAACTCATTAAGTTAACTTATTTTTTCGAAAACATTCAGTTAATGCCTTGTTTATACGTGACGAGCACTCTCCTTCGTGAACTCATGGAACCAGTACTCATCTCAGTAAATCGGACGAATAGAATGAGGGAGCGAGTGAATAAAAACCGTTTTTATTCACTGGGCTGAGCGACTACCCTCAGTACCAAAATATCCTGTACTCGATCTTATATAGGTATCGTTCGACTGAGCGAATAAAATGTATGTAGACGCCGATTAGTTAAATTTCGGTACTAGGCCGAAAAACAACAAAATGAATTTTGCAACCAAGCGTTCGTTACGTGTAAACGAGACAACAATTCCAAGTTTTCGTCATTAAAACGTGCACTGATTTCAATTTTATTGAAGTTTTTCGATTTCTATAAGCGTCCTTCGTGCGTAAAACACCTAATGAAATTCTGCACAGGTTTTTTCCTGAACTGTTTCATTGAACTTTTTCGTCTACTGTTCCGTCATAGCGCCATCGTTCTTGCTTCACATCATGTCCATTTGTTGATCCAAAATACACCATACCACTAACCGTATCGCCCACGCCACTCCCCAAAAAGTTACAAGTATAATTATTATTCTATTTAAAATAATTGGCAAGAAATTAGGTAATAAAAAATGTTGAAATACTTTCAATCTTTTCCTGAGTCAACATGATTTATTTTTACATCAAATTTGATATATATATTTCAATGAGCAGAAATTATTATGGGATATGCTCAGTCAGCTAATAGTACGATATAAATTAATGAACTATATAAAATCCTTTTAACAGTGTAAATTAAGGTTTTTGTAGTAAATATTACATTGCTAAAGATAATATTAAATATACCTAACTAAAATGATAATTAACATTCAGCATTTTCTCTTTGTTTCTTGCTGAATGAGCGATTAAATTTGTTCTATTATTTAATTTAGGGTATTTAGATTCATCTATAAGTTATAACGAACACTCTTTAAATAGTCATTAATCATAACTGAAGTTTCAATAAAGAAAAAAATATTAAAATTTTAAAACTCGTAATATTAGTTTTATAATAATATGGCAGTTTTACATTGTATTTAAAAAAAACATCCATTATGCTTGTTGTACTATTTTTTATGTAGAAATTGCAGAAATTCTAAATTTAAAAATAATAATAATATAGTTGTTGACGTGTTCTGTGACCAATTTTGGGTAAAAAATTTGATATTATTAATTTATATCAGTCTCGGTATTTGGGATATTCGTATAAAATGATTAACTAACAGAAACAGTGACAAATTTTAGATATTAAGACGAATCCTAGACCATTAATAAATACTCTATTAAGGTTTACTTGTGTCTTTGAAGATGAATGAATAAATGTACCACATTGTTGCGGGGTATCCAAGGATATACTACAACAATTTAAATTCTTAATAGTAGCTAACGGCGAGCGTTGAGAAAAATAAATCAAACGCGGTAATTTTACCGGAACTGTATATTAAATTTACCAGTTGTGTTGCTGTGTTGATAGATTAATACAAATAAATAACTGTTAGTATTGTTTATTATTTGTTATAGATATCTGTGTTAATCATTGGATTTATTTGATTATTTACATTTTAGATGTATTTAGGGGTTTTGAGGGATGAAGGGTTACTTTTAGATTAATTTGCTTTGGAATGCTAATTGTTCAACTATATTTAGAGTCCATCTTTATTTTTTGTTCCAATTCAACCATTGGTTATGGGTAATATTAACATTTGTATAAGGTCGACAATAGCCATGTATATTGGTTAATGTAAACCTAATTCTTTGAATGTAAATATGAAATTTCTCCATTAACCGGTTAATGTTTTCATTACCCTCAATAATATATATATATATATAATTTTAATAGTTAGACATTAATTTGATTGGTACATTCTTACCTCATACTTAAAGGACATCTAAAATTAATAATTAGTTCACTTTTGATAAATTGTAATTTGTAGAGACTACAGACTATTGATTGTAAACGTTACTAAAATTGAAGGCAATTGCTTGTTACTATTTAACAATGGCATTAAATTACAACTGTATACAACGAATTGGATATATTCATATCATATTTTATATGATGTTAACTTGGAAAATGAAAAGATGTACTATGAATTATTATACATGTCTATTATTTAATTTTTCCTAATCTCGTCTCTTTACAGTATAATTATAGTTGTATTTAAATATTAATACAATAATTATTTATCTAAAAATAATTAAATTAATAAATGACTCGAGAGTTAATGACCTTTTGTTGATAATATTAAAAGATTAAACCAATTTCTTGTCCTTCGACTTCTTAATATATAGTATTATTCTTATAGATTTAAATGTAAAAAATGCAAATAACGATTAAATTAATAAAAAAAAAAAAATCTGATTAAAAATTAATGAAATACAATATACATTATATGATATACCTACGTAATTAAGTATAGTTACCGCTAAATCAAATTATACTATATTATACTATATAATAAAGAAATTGTATACACTATTGTAACTATAAATATTAAATGTATTTAAAATTCAAAATAAAGTAGGTATCTACCAACTCAATTTATTTTAAACATTTTTAGTTAAAAAATGATGTTAATATTCATGAAAATAATCAACAAATATTGAGAAATTTAAAAAATGATATGTCCTGACTTGAGAGTATTACCCTCATTATCTTCAAAGGACTTTTCCATGCAATAGTGTAATTATGTAACAGATATAATACAGATACAGATCATAAAATTTGTAGGAAATAACATAGACTTTATTATATCACTACCTGTTAAAGTGCATTCATGTGAGTAGAGATTATATTGAATAAGTTTGGTAAAATACAATTGATTCTTAAGCAAGTATACTTGATTTTGTTTATTCTTCAATGTAAAACTGTATTAATTAATTAAGTAGGTATGTTATAACACAGTAAATATATTACGTTACAGTTTTTCTTGTTCAGTCCTCATGGAAATAGATTTATTACATAACTTTATTTTTCTGGCAAGACATTAGCGCTAAAAAAGTGGAAAGTGCTATAATATTTCACTCCTCAATTGGTATGGAAATTGTAAGAAACACTGTGTGAGTATTTAATTTTACATTTTTTCTTAGAAAAAACAACAGATACCATGTTTTAAAGATGGAAATCATGTCAAAAATGTTTGTTATTAGGCCATCTAACTGAATGTGCTGTAGCATGTACTTATTTATTTAGATTATTGGAAAAATTCTGAAAATGTTTAGCTGGCCCAATTACTAATAAATATAAAATATTACAAAATTGTTACTCTGGAGTTGAGACAAATAATTTTTTGTATAGTTTAATCATGTTTATAAATATTGATGACTAGCTTTTTATTAAAACTTTAAAGTGTAATTTATTGTATAAATGTAAACATTTTTTTTTTTATATATACAACATACATTGTAAATTATCAATAAAGGTTAATGTAAAGCCTTAGTGTTATAGTAATTTTTTTGTTGACTAATTTGGCTTTTAAAATATTTTCTTGTTTACATACAATTTTTCTGACTGTGTAATTTATATTTAATTTCATGTTTTATGTGAATCAAACCAATTTATTTTTCTAGTTTTTCAGTTTCTAAAATACCATTCAATTCTATTGGGTATTTATTTAGTATAAGATACATAAATAATAAATTATAATTTTTTAAACTGTGGCATTCTACATTTTTTCTTACCTATTAAAAATTTAAATGAGTTATTAAACTAGTAAATAATTGTTTTTAGGAAAACAGGAATTGATATAATTAATTAATATTGATTAGTGGTATTACATTTTATTTATTAAAGATAAAATAAAACATATATTATTAAAATAATAAAAACATCAATAAAATAGGAAAAAATAATACTAGTAAAAAAATAAACAATAACAATCCATGGGAATCTTCAATAAAGTAGCAAATGAAAATGTAAAAAAAACATAACATGTATTAATTTGTAAATACTATAGAGTATATGGTTACAGTATGCTCTATTTTAAGTTATAAATATATGTTTAGGTAGTTTGTATATTTATCATATGTGTTTTCAAACTTAATTTTCAATTAAGTTTTTTTTTGTTTTGTATTCAAATTAGATTCTTATAATTTATTAATTTGAAAATGTTACCATATAATACATTTCTCTTCAGGATTCATAGGTGTTCCTAATGGGCAGTTAAATACTTTTGAAAATTCTTCAAAATTGCTCAATGGACCATTAACTCTATATTGTGATGGAGCATGTAAATCTTTTTCAATTTGTAATTTAAGAGATTCTTCAGTACTTGATGAACACCATACCTAAAATGTAATAAATAATTATTTAACAAATTTAATAAGTTTTTATTTAATTTTTAAATAATCTACACATACTTGGGCAAAACTGACAAAAAATAATTGTTGAGTTGTCAGATGGACAGCAGGCAGGCGGTTTGGTTGAGCCCTCTTTTCTTTAAGTAACTTAATATATGCACGGTATGCTGCTTTAAGTCCTCCATTATCAGCAATATTTTCTCCTAAATACAACACACACTTTTAATAATTGTTATTTTTTTTTTATCTTATTACTATTATTTAAGTTATAATAACAGTTTAATATACCTAATGTACGTTTTCCATTTATATTATGACCATTTACTTTAAAGTTGGAGTACTGTTTCACCATACATTCCGTTGCCTCTTTAAATTTTTCAACAGTTTTATTATTCCACCATGGATGTAAATTTCCAAAACGATCAAATTCTCGACCTGCCAATAAATTTTTTTTTAGATACGTAATATTTATTGAACAATATGAAGTATATAAATATTTAAATATCGACGGCATTTAATGTTTTAGATAAAGATAATATATAGGTAGTTATGATTGAAAACAGATTTATGGTAACAATCAAACCTTGATCATCAAATGCATGGGTGAGTTCATGTCCCATAACTACTCCCATTGCGCCATAATTGATGGAAGGCTGTTGCATTTGATCAAAAAATGGGGCTTGCAGAATTCCAGCAGGGAAGACGATTTGGTTTTTGGTTGGTGTGTAGTATGCATTTACCGTAGGAGGAGTCATACTCCACCTGAAAGAAAATCGATAAATTGGTTACCATCATGCTTTGTGGACAAGCTTGTTGTGTTTTTACTTTGTACGATTAACAGGTCGATCGAGCTTATACAAATACTGTATCAAATTGAATTGAATAGCACGTATGTTATTTTCAAAGTATTCGTCAAAACGTACACTCAAATTTTGGTACTTGTCATTCAATTGATCCGAATCCATTATATAATCCGGAAAACCTATGAAATATATTTATAGGATGAACATGTTTTGTGTTAAATAATTCCAATTTCAACAACCTATCATATCTGTTATGGCATCTGCTTTTTTTTCAGCTTCAATCAGTGTTTCTCTATCCATCCATTTCAAATTTTTGAAGTTATCTTTGAATGCTGTTCTTATTTCGTTGATCATTTCTTCGGCCTGTAAAACTTAATATTTATTTTCCGTTTTTTTCTTTGCTATTATTACTCTTATATCTTACTAATTTTTTTGATTGTCCATTGAAAACATCACGAACATATAGTGCTCCCAAAGCAAATCCTAATACGTTGTTCGTATCGCTGATGCAGTAGCGCCAAGGTTCTTCACCACCTTCTGATCCCAATAGTGCCTTCCGAAGTCCTTTATATGCATCTCGAAAAACTTTTGATAAATAAGGAGTAACGGCCCTGACGGTTTGCCACACTAAATAATTGTTAATTACCCTATAATTAAAAACTTAATTATACATTGTTCAATTAGTTTAAAGATTGATAGTTAAAATGATTTGTTACGTTTTGTTTTCTGGAGATTTGCTATATTCGTCAATTAATGACGAAAGGTTTGACAAAAATGAGGGCGAATACACCACAACGTTTTCCTTACTAGTAATCTTTCTGTTAACTAATCGAAAAGCTGCATTGAAGTAGTGATTCCATTGAATCTGTAAAAATAGTTACTGTTATATAAAATCTGTAAAAAGAAAGTTTATCAAACTATGTATTGAAAATGAAATTGATTTAATATGAAAAGTATTAAATATCAAAAATTACTAAAATTAATGGAATTTAGTCATAAATAAACATACAAATGGAGCTAAATTCTGTAATTCACTTATGGGCATAATGTGGTAAGCTTTTTCTTCGTCTCGTTTATCTTCATCGGGTTCAGTAAATTTAGCAAGACGAGTTTCAAATTCAATAACTTTTTTCATTTGATCTCTTGTCGAATTAGGTTCACCACCCAATAATGTTCCAATCTAGAACCTCAAAAATAAAGAATTATAATTCAATAATTAATAATATAAAAAAGTTTATATTATAATTCTAAAACTGTTCAACATAACTTAAATCAGTGGCTTCCCTAGACCCGTTTATAAGGGGGGAGGGCACAGTTCATACGTGTATTTAAATTTATATATTTACCTAGTGTGATATAAATAACAACAATTTGAAGAAAAAAAAAGGCCATGGGGAAAATTGCCTCATTCCCCCTTGAGTTAGACCAGTTAAATATGAATAATTTATTAACAGAATTGTGTTAAGTCCATTGGCTTATAATTTATCATAAAAAATAATACGATTAGATACTTATGTAATTCTAATTAACTTCAGAGAACCTATATAAATAATAATAAAGTATAAGCTCACCGTTGTCATATAATCTAAATACGTATCTAATAGTTTTTGATTTGCTGTAACGTTTAAATAGAAATCTCTAGTTGGCAGAGTCAGACCACCTTCATCAATCTATATTATATGTAAAATTATTAATAATTTATTTGCTTGTTAACTATGTTAAGTTTTTAAAAACTAACCTGAATTATATGTCTGCTCGAATTTCTATCATCCTCACCGACCATCCAATAAAATAAACCTGCCATATTGTACCTATTGTGAACTGTTTCTAATGTTCGTTGAAGTTTCCATGAAGATACGTTCCAAGTTCCTGATATGTTCCATCCACCAATTTCTTTAATTAGATCAATTAATGGTTTAGCACCCAAGGTTTCAATTGTATTATTCGGGTCCATACAAGCAGTGAAATACATTTTAGCTTTGAGTTCAGCTTTATTAGTAGTATTCAAAGGAATTGCTTCTGTAAAATAAATATACATTTATATATATATATATATATTATTTTATCTATAATTGATAATTATATGTACTTATTTATAAAGTATATAAAAAATTTTAATGTTAATAAAATAAATTTACTAATAATTAAACAATCCCTCAGTCTAACTGTTATTTGGTATTAAATAAAAAATTGTTTTTATATTTATTATATATAGCTGTAGAATTGGTAAATAATTATTGAAAATTTTATATTTTTTCATTTAAGCTTTTAATTTATAAAATATTATTTATGGAAAATGTGTGATATTATTAGATATTTTTTTTAAAAGTACATTATACTAAAGACAACGGACTAAGCAAGGCCAACAAAATTAATACTTTATTGATTAAAACACAATATACATCGCACCCAATGAATTTTTGACAATAAGCTGATTGTTCATCTCCAACTCATTAAACATGCCCCACATAGATCGGCCATCCGGCACTGGGTTTGTTTTTATCCATTGACCACAAGCATACTTATAAAAGTCTTGACAAGGGTCGGATTTCGTATTCATGTTCTTGATTATTGTAGCTGCTGTTGTCACACATGTCTCTTTCATACAATATTCTGAAAAAAAAGTTTGTTAAAAACGGCTAGTATTATAATCATCACATTGGATTCACACGTTTTATTGAATGCCACCAAGGACATCATAATGCGTGTGTTACATAGCTAATCTCACCTTGCCCAGTACTGACGTAGGAATCTGATTCTTCGTATATATCAGGTGCTGGATTGACGGTGGGAATACATTGTTCTGTACTCATAGGATTCAGAAAAATAATTACCAGCAACAAACTCATGAACAGGCTTACGCCAATAAGTGCCTTTTCTAATGCCGTTCTGTTTTGCCATCCTGACCAGATATTTTTAGGTTTTCCCTATTTAACATTTTTTTGTCAGTTATTACTAATAACAAACATTTTATTGTAGTATAATATTATATTATTGTTACTGTATAAAAACGAATGTGTGTGGAAGACGCAGTCACTCCTTCTGTCAAATGAACAGAACCCATGCTTGATGTTTCCTCTTCGAACACTTTGTGCTTATAATGTGCCATCTACAAAATTTAAGATGCATTTAAATAGAAAAGAATGATAAAATATATAATTATTAACATAATAACAGTACAAATTAAATTATCAATTTATATTCACTTAATAGTTAAATAAATATTTTTTAATTCGTCAATAACATAGTTTACAATGACTAATGATGCTTACAATACTTATGCTACAATACTTCAGAATATACTAATAATATTATTAGAATATATTTTGTTACACAATAAGTTTATCATATGTTAAAACATAGATATTTAGCTTGAAAATAAAAATACAATGTTAAAATATTAAAAATAAATTCTTATTTCTTAATTTGTTATGAATACTTTTTTTTTTTTATTAGTACGAAGAAAAACGTTGAATAATAAAGTTAATAAAAGGCTCTAAAATATCGAGATTCTAAAAATTTAAAAATTAACAAATTTTACAAAGAACAATATAAAATTTAATAATTTTAAAGGATATTTTCTAAATGACGATAAACTTACACAATACTCATCACATGTTAAAAAAGCCTTAACGTCACCCATTTTTTGAATGCTAGTTATTTTTATATTTATATTATATATTTGTAAGAAAGTTTTTCAAATATACTTTTTTTTTTTTTTTTAATTTATTTTAAAATAATAAGAGTACGCCAAAAAACGTCATATAAATAACGAACTATCATATTTAGTTCCAATATTGATTGAGAAATTAGATATCGGTTAAAAAATTTCATAATTCTGATTATACTTCTTAAATTGTAAAAAAAGTTCCGTAATTTAGGTTGAATTTGATATTTTATGTGATCGTAAAATTGAGTAGAATGAAAGAAAAATGTCACCTTAATGTTTTACTTGCAAAGGTGAAAAAAGGGTAAAATAAAATCCAGCTACAGAAAGTGACACGTAATTTTAAGCAAGTTTCTATTTTTCTGTAATTTTTAAATACTTCGAATTAGAATAATTTTTTTTAATCCAAACCTGATATGGAAATAATAAAGAGTATCGAAATATAGCATCAATACGTTTTTATATCTTAATTGATATTTCATAACAGATAAATGTTTGTTCATGTAAGTTCATGATTAATAGCTAATATTAAAAATTATACACCAATTTTAACACGGAATAATTAAATAATTATAATTGTATTATTTATCTAAAAATGTTGTTTTCCTGTATTAATTTCATGAGCAATTGACACATCTAACCTACATGTATATAACATTTAATAATCTTATTGGTACGACTTAAATATAGTATTGTTAGTATATATTATTTAGATATCAAGTCATAACTTTATGAGTTATTAAAATTGTATACAGTAAACTATTTCGATTATTATTTACTCGGGATAAAAAGGTATTATATACAAAAAGGCTCATGAATAGTTAATTCAATTATATTTAAATTAATATTAGATAAATAATATGATAATTAATTAAATTAACATTATACTTGGACATATTTATTCATTGTGTGGGAAACATATATATTTTATTCATTGATACATATACAAACTACTTCCTATGAAGTCACTTAGTAAGTATTTATCAATAAATGTAATTTTAAAATATTACTTTTATATACCGTTAAATTATAAATATCAAAAATATTATTATGTATTTAATATATTATATTGTTGTTTTATGATATTAACACGGTTCGAGTTTTTACTTAACTTTTTCGATAAGATTAAGTAAATATACTATGTTATATAGGTGTAATATACTTAATCACTAGGACTCGGCTTTTAAATGCTTATTTTTTTATGTATAAGATGGAAATTTAATTGTTATATACAAATTAGTTTCATATTATTCTGTTTTATTAGGAGGTGATACAAATTCAAAAAAATATCTAATGAGACTGTCGTATAGTAATCCTCGTGTAAACACGCTCAAAGTCTTAACTCATAATCAAAACTAAAAAGTACATTTTCCTCGCTCGTCAACATACTGTTCTACTTCTTCCAGAAAAATACCAGACACTCTCGACTTATTCATAATTAAAATCTCTAACAGTCTACCTAGCTTGACAATTAATCTGAATAATCTTTGCTCTGATCATTCAGCTGTCCTATTAATAATTGATAGTATCTTTCTTAATAAATCAAAACAACCACATCTCATCCAAAGCTAAATGGACTGAGAAAAATTCTGATTGTCTCTTGAAAGTTAAACTAACCTAAAAATTAACTTGAGATCCTCTGGCGATAAATGAAATTGTAATCTTATTAACAAAGTCAATACAAGAGCAGCAAGGGCCTGCTTCACCCCTATCTAACACACGAACCACATTCGGAATCCCCCTCTGTATATAAGAGTTCTAATCTCAGAGAAACGAAGAGCTTATACTACTTGGCATAGAACCAAATATTCTCAAATAAATAAAAACTTAACAACTTAACTAATAAACTAAAAAAACTCCTCTTATTTAAGTTGAGAAAATTTCACTAGATATCTTTATTTTCTTTTTTCTACTGATAACTCACTCTGACAAAAAACTAGGAAAATCCAGCAATCTGCACCTTCACTGAAAAAAACCTATGGAAATTGAGCCGTTAATCAATCGGAAAAATTTTTCCGCCATCTTTATTTTACTTTTTAACCATATAACTACATTTTATGTCCTATTCAAATCGAGAAAGTAAACCATTTCCTATACTGCTCATTGCCCATAACTCAACCACCAAAATATGTTCAATCTAGCGAAGTTTAAAATGTGTTAATGAAATCTGCTCGTCACAAATGCCCAGGCTACGATCTAATCACAGCAGAGGTGGCAATAGAACTGTAATTCTACTTCTCTTAACACATATTTATAATTTCATGCTGTGATCGTCATATTTTCCGAGTTAATTTAAATTATTGGTCATTATAATGATCCTTAAACCAGGTAACCCCCCCTAAATCACCCTATTCGTCTTCTTCCACTATTCTCAAAGGTTTTTGAAAGAATTATTTTAAAACTTATTTTTCATATCATCGAAGAAAACCTACCTAATACCCAATTTGGATTTCTTTATAAACATTCAATGATACATTAAGTTTATTGCCTAGTTGATTAAATATCCTATACACTAGAAAAAAAGTTAATTTGTATGGGTGCATTCCTCGGTGTGGCATAAAGATTTTTTTTTATAACTCAAATCTATCCCCCCTTCCCCGTGATTTTCCCTATTACTTAAATCTTATTTAGAAAACAAACACTTTACTAAAGGAACTGGTTCTCCTTTATCCGAAATATCACCAATTCATACTAGAGTACCTCAAGGAGCTGTTACAGCACCTTTACTTCTAAATCAATTTACCTCAGATCAATCTACTTTTCCTAACACTATAACTGGAGACTTTAATAAAAATCTGATTGTCTTGATTGTCTGAAAGTCTTGATGATAAAACTGTTTTAGTAATCCACTCTGATCCTGAAATAGCCTCAAACTTAATCCAAAATTACCTTAATTTCTTATCAACCTGGTATTAAGACTGGGGGATAAAAGTCAACAAATCAAGATCCATTGTACATTCACATTAAGAAGATAAGACTGTCTTTCTCAATAATAAACCTATCCTAAACATACAAAATGTCTGTAACCCAGGTTAGACTGCCAACTAACTTGGACAATTCAAACCCACATCAAATAAATCGCCTTAAACAACCGTTCCCGTCAACTACGTTATCTTCTCATATCACAACACATACATTTAAAAAACAAACTTCTCTTATAAACTCTTATTCAAACCGATCTGGGCTTATAGTATTCAACTATGAGAAGCAGTTAAGCCCTGCAACTTAAACAAAATTCAAACATTTCAATCCAAATATCTCTGACAAATGATCAAAGCCCCATACTACGTATCTAACGATACTCATAGAGATCTCTCCATCCTAAGTGTTCAAAACGTTGTCAAAGTGTTCTCAAACATCTACACTCTAATCTCTACAATCATCGTAACTCCCTGATTTCTTAACAATCCATCAATACTATTCCAGTTGATTCCAGAAGGCGTCTAAAACGAACTTGATATGATCTTTTAACCTAAACTAGGTTAGGTTATTTCAGGTATATTAAATCATATTCTTTCAAAAGACAAGGGCTGGAAACATTTACAAAACAATAACAACATACTGTATGGTGTTTCATTAAATATTGATTATCAACGGTTTTAATTAAATTAAACAGCTTGTATGAAATATGCACCATCAATTCAGTGGATGTAGACTGTTTATTTTCAATGTATGATTTTTTTTTTTCTGATAATTGAGTCAGTTTCACAACTGAAAATCTAACAATATACATGGTAGTCAATTTATTTTTAAGTATATGTTAATTTTTGTTCGTGCTTTTTTTTTCAAACAATGTTATACTTTTTTTGTGATTTATTGTTCTTTATAATCCTAGCTCAATTAATCACTCAATATATGACGTACGAAAAATTAAAAATGTAAATAGCTATTCCGTTATTTAGATGAAAATCATAGTAGAAATGCATTTAAAAACAATTTTTAAATTGTACTAACTATGAATTTGTCATAGACTTTTTAATATTAATTTGAAAATTTGCAAACAATTTAAAATATGAAAGTATACGAATAACAAGTATACAACTAGTAAATAGTTAAATAATGAAAATATGGTTTTTAATATATATATAATCAAACTGTTAACCATTTTTAGCTTCTTATCAGGTTTTAAATTTATCATTTCCGTTTTTATAGTTTAAATTTCCATGCATATAATTAAATTATTTTTGAACCTAGTATCTATTTATTTGTTTTTTGTTATTATAATATTTAGAAACGTAGTAACATGTTTAAAGCCTTGATTTTAATTAAAAATATATTATACAAGAGTACTCAATAGAAAAACTTAATAAAAATTGACCTTTATTTATATTTTTTGGAAAGTTAAAATCGATTTTTTTTATTGCGTATACTTTGATTTTAAAATAGGGTGGGTGGAATTTTAATTAATAAAATAATAAAAAACTAAAATGGGAAGTTTAACG